GCAAAGAAGTATAGAATTTTTTGCAAACATCTTTTTTGTGTGTGGTCAGAAGATCAGCAGAAAAAGTTTTTTAACTATATATACTTTATTAAACAATTGTAAACTATATATTATAATATAAATTATTAAAGCTAAAAACCCTAACTAGTTTACTATCTTTATAATTACTATTATAAATACTACTTTGGAAAATGATTTGTTATTATATTAAGAGTTCAAATAAAAAACTCTTCCAACTTCTAATATTATCGTTTGCAAGTTATTATTATAGATTTAAAAAAATATAATAATAAAATTTATATTAAAATACTGTATAATATACAGTATATAAATTTTATGATTTTTGGTTATATATTTAAGGATTTAAAAATTGTCAAAGTTAAAATTTATAATAAATACAATAAATGGATTTAAACTTTTAGAAAAATTATATATTATATATTAGATTTATAGCTTTGTTAAAAATTTTATTTAAGCTTAAACAATAAATAAATTAATAGAATAATTTAAAACCTCTTTTAGCTGATCCTCTGATCATATACAAAAAAGAAGGTTTTATATCTTTATTTTAATAAAGTTTTAATACTTTTTTTAAACCAACTTAAAAGTTACCTTTTGGAGTTACTTATATATTCTTCCTCTTGGCTATAATTTTCTTTGAGTAAAAACTTGACAGTTAGTAATCTTAAAGTTATGAAACACCTTTCTTATCAATGGCAAAAAAGTTTTAAAAAGAAGAAAAACTTATATTTTATTACCTCTGAACTCACAAAAAAATATTACAAAGCTATTGCTATAGTAAAAGAGCTAATACTTACTTTTTTTACCACTTAGACTAATTCTTATAGTGTTTTTTTTCAGTCTTCCCTGAGAAATTTTGTCTACTACAGCTTGTTTCTAAATTTTAAGTGGTACAAAGTTCCTCATTATTTGATTGGTTTAAAGAATTATGTCAACAAAAGAATATAAACAAGCTTCTATTGATTACATTATATATCTGAATAAGACATAAAATCCATGAAGTTAGTGAACACATAGAAAGAACAAAACTGGAGTAGGTTACATCATTCCTTTTCTAGTAAATATAACCCCTACACATAGGACTAATATCTTTTAGAGGATTTTTATACTTCTATTCATCTATTGAAATCAATTTTGATAGCAACTAAATAATACTATTTCTTTGGATAAAACTTGATTTAAACACAACTACTTTATTAAAATTTTTAGTTAAGTATTAGTAGAGTTAAGGCTTCATATGAATAGTTTTTAATATTGGTAGTACTAGTATCTAAATAAATCTTTGGTACATTAGCTCTTCTTTTTTTATATAACAATAAATTACTTGATAGATCAATCAAAGTCATACTTTAGGGAGTGTCAGAATACAGAATAGAAAATTAACATAGTATTAATCTCATATTTTTTTTTTCTTGTGGTTTGTTTTTATAAGAAGATTATTTATACTAGATAGTCATATAACTATCTTATTCTGGTTGGATAAGATATAAATAGATAACTCTTTATACTATCTATTGATCTGTAAATTCTTAGACAATATAAATAGTTATTTATCCTGGTTGTTCCTAGATTTTCTGCTTATTTAAATAAATCTTGTTCATCCTGATACAAGAATGAACTAGTATTTTAAAAAAAAAAATAAATAAAAAATAAATAAATTAATATTATTTTAAAGAACTATATAAATTAACTAAGTATATTATACTGTACATTAATTATTTATAATATAAAATTTTTCTATATTAATTTTTGATTCAACTATATAATAAATCAACATAGATTAAAATTTATAGTAAAAATTTGATTGATTACATATTAAGTTTATAAATTAAATTCGATATTTATAATTAGAACCAATTATTGATTTATTATTTATTATATTATATTTCTTTGATAATATAAAATCCAAAAACCAAAAAATAACTGACTTGCTATATACTTTGACCCATGAAAATTTATTTGATTTTATATAATATTCTATATAAAATTTTTTTAATGTTTTGCAATAATTATTATTATGCTTTATGGACGTTATAAGATATTATGACGCACTCAGGCAAATTTTTAAAATCCTGGTCGGAATTATAAATAATGCCGACCAGTACGACATAATACCCTCATTACATAAGTAATAGATTTAAATTGTCGATAGCTATTTAAAACGTAAAACTGAATGATTTGCGTCAACTCATTAGCTGTGCGTTTATTGAGCCATTAAACTAATTATATTGATGCGCTATATCTTTGCGGTAAGATTAAGTGATGCGCCACATCCTTGCACAAGATACTGTATCTTCTTCAAATGAGATTTATCCGCTCGTCTACTTAATGTATTATATTACTGAGAAATATGGAACATAAGGAATTACATGATGATTCGGCACGCGTTCTTCACGTAAAGGAATAATAAAGAATCGCAATAACGATTTTTTAGACGGTTATTAATTTCATGATATCCATTCTGAAGAGTACAGCGCTTATCGAAATTTTCATGGTAAAAAAATTTTTTATATTTTTATTAACAAAAAATCTTTTATTTTACGCCACCATCAAAATTCATCGATTATACCTTTAAAATTTTTATTTTATTTTATTTTATTTTTGAAAGAAAGAAAGTAATAAAAAAAATTTTTATATGAATTATTTCTATAGGTTAAAGTTTTTTTAAAATGAATCTAATAATTGTATAAAATAAAAATTTCAATTTTACTATACCCGTCTGTACATTAAAGTTTCTATTGGAGCTTTTATTTTTGTTATATATTTTATTTATGACCAACAATTAAATATCACACTTGTTTAACAAGGTTCTAATTTTAATCATTTTAAAGAAACTCCTATATAAGTATCGACAACGCTGTTATCGCAAATCCAAAAACAAAACTTTCGAGCTGAGCACAGATAATTTTACTGGCATTGCTCTTCTTTCCCATACCTGTAGTAGTATTGCTATTGTTATTCCCCGTATCATTTTTACCAGTTATGACTTTTCTTTCTTTCTTTCCAGCCAACAACGCCTTTGGATTTTTTAACTCCCGACCGGCACACAAATGTTTCTCCCTTGACTACACCTTTCAATTGATTAAATTTTTCACACCTAAATCTCTCCGAACTCGAAATCACACTCATCCCTCCGCGTACTTCTTGCAAACCGGATAAATCTAACTCCCTAAAACTTCCCGTAATATCTATAAATCCATTGACTTGCTTGAGCTTAGGAAATCCTGTGATGGTTTGTAAATTAGGATTATTAGAGATGACGACGGAGCCTCCGACACTTTGCAGTTCCGGCAAACAGATGGACTTGAGAGGGCTAGAACGAATAGTCAACGTTCCGGAGACAGATCCTAAGTTTGGGATGGAGAATGAGTCGAAAGAATTCTCTTCGATGACTAAGTCGTTGGAGATTGTACCAAGACCAGGAAGACTTGTAAACCCCACATTTCTGAGTGTTAGGTCTCTTAATGAATTCAAGCTTGGTGCCTAAAAGTACGATTAGAAAGAATAAATAAATCTCTTCATGGCATAACATGTTTTTAGATACATACATTTATTCTAATTGTTCCCTGTCCGTTTCCTGACAAGAATAATTCGTCTGTATTTCTCAAATACGGCAGCCTTAAATGTACCAAATTACGATTATCCGTGATTCTCAGACTCTTTGTATTCTTCATATCAAGGCCGTTTAAGCTCGTGATACCCGTGTCCGCTACCTCAAAGCTTCCCGTATCATTTAATCCCATCGAGAAACTTAAATCTGTCAATGAAGGTAACACTTTAAACAATAAAAACTCGGATTTTTGTAGTGAAGGAAATTCAAGGGTAGTGAGGAGTGTCTGATTAACTACGGAGATTCGTGTAGCGGATTTAAGATGGGGAAAGGAAAGACGACGAAGCCGATCATTGTTATTGACAGCGATGATTCCGTCCAGGTATTGAAGATGGGGGAAGACCAAATCGGGAAGGGATAACGAAGTGATAGAAATTGCACCGCTATATGTCGTGCAGGATTGTAGTGCTTCGAGATCATAGGATTCGCGGATTTGGAGACCACCCGTGCACGTTGGGCGTTTTTGAGCTTCTGAGAATAGACAAAAGAGATGTTAGCTTGGGAGGCATTGGTTTTTCTTAAATAGAATAATTATGATACCATTAGCAAATATTAAAAGAACGGAGAAGAAAAGAAAAGAGATTCTAGGTTTTGGAAGTTTGCCGATATTTACTAAGAACATTTTTTTTTCTATTTAATAATATTACGATGCAAGAAAAACTGTTCACGATATACGTAAAAGAAAAATGGAGGCAAACAACTGTAGATTATAATAGAAGAAACATTGATTGAGTATATATTTAATTAGTAGATATAACCTTTTTTTTTTTTTTTTGCCACGAAACTTAATCACCTTTTCTATGGTAATCATTGATATATTAAAAATGAGCATATTTGGTGTTAGGATGATTTACAGTATTCCCGATTTGAGAGGTCGCAATAAATGATCGAGAAATTAAACACAATCCTTCTTTATTTATTTCTTTTTGTTTAATTTATATTATTTTTTATTTTTATTTTTAAAACATAAAATAGAATATTTGCAATATATATAAATAAAGCAAACGATTTTATATAATATTATTTATGATTTAGAACTTCAATTTACAGTAGTTTATCTACTGCAACTATTGCTTTACATAGAAATTGATGCAATATATAGATAATAACAATAAAACAAATAAACTAATAATGAAAATGAAAATAAACTCTTTTTACTAATCTTTCTAACTCACACAAAAAAGATTTAGCCAAAAGTTTTTTTGATTTTTAGATGAATAGTCTTAGTACTATTCTTAAAACAACTCAAAGAATATCCACTTTCATATTTATCTTTTTATTTACAATTCTTTTTAACCAAGAATATAAATTTTGATAATTAAAAATTCAAATAATCCTTTACTACCAATGGTAAAAAAGTTTCTAGAACAGACTGTAAAGAATCTGAAGACCTTTTTACTTTTGAAACAAGTTATTATAGAGAATTTCTATAGTAAAAGGTTTATTTATTTTGTCAATTTTTTTTACTTTTATAGTTTTTGAGAAAATCTTATCTATCTCAGTTTGACCTTAAATTTTTGAATTACACAATTCTTATCAAAGGTAATTAGTTGATATGAAACATATTATTTATTGTATTGTAAATAATTTTTATTAATTGAAATTATATATTATAACAATATTATTGATAAAAAAAATATTAATTAATACATTATTTCTTTCTCACTTTTCTAATTGAGTTAAATTATACCTTAAGTTTTATAAGATCAGTAAAATCTACAAAAAAAAAAAAAACTCTTTCACACTCACATCAAAATTCGTAAAAATTTCCTTTTATGATAACAACCCAAAGTTCACAAGAAAAAATCTATCACTCACAAAGAGCCTCTTCAACAAACATATCAAGAAGGTTCCTTAGAGTTAAGGACATAATGACAAATTATACTGGTGAAAGAATCATCACTAATAGTGGCAAAATTGCAAAACCATTGCTGAAGACCACACTAGCAAGTAAATTCAACCCACTTATCAATATAAAGAGAAACAGAATGACAGCAAACAAAGAGAAGGAGGCAGCAATCTCGACAACTACAAAAGACCTTACTCAAAGTCAAGATGAAAACATGGAGCTTGCAAATATAGAACAGGACAATAGCACAAACCCTGAGAAGGGACCATAGAAATCTTCAAGAGAATAGAAGAAATGAATACAGAATCTAGATCACCATCACCGGTAACAGTAGTATCAATAACTACAATATCAAAAGAAGAGAAAGAGTCCTCAAATGGTATAGAAAACATCATTAACAACTATTACAATTATGAAGAAGAGTAGAAATCAAGGGCTATAGCAACAGAATGGATGAACCCCCAAGAAACCTTCAATACATTTCATCCAGGAAAGATTTGCATGGACTCAGAGAAGTTATCTGGACTCTTAACAGAGGAGAAAATTCACCAAGTATGCTGTAAACTGAGGTATTTATCAACCCTGAAACATGTCCATATTGAAGAACCAATCGGATCTCCAACTATTACAAAAATTTTTGACAATTACCATGAGGCTATAGTTGTATGCGAGATCCAGATCACTAACAATAAAAGTTTCAAATTTAAACTAGCATCCTAACTTGACATCGCTGAATACAAATACCAATCCATTAGAATCCGGAACATTCCCAACCACTTTCAAAAAAGGAGATTGTAACCCTTTTTCAAGATAAAACTCAAATCGAATATATAACCTTATAACTAGCAGGATAAGTTAAATCTAGAATCATCTAGTTCAGTACATTGGAAATATATGAAAAACAAATCCAAAACTGGGCCATTTACAAGGACATCTTTTATATGAGAACATATCTAATAATCAAAACCCATATCACAAGAGAGAAGAGAAACTAGTACAATGCAACACTTGCTAACATTCCACAAAGAATCTCAGCAAAAGAACTCAAGGAAATTATCAAACAGACAGTAGCTCAAGTGGTATACTTCTCTCTAACTCTACAAATCAAAACAAATATTTCACCATCCTATATTATAAAGATAACAAAAACCTAAACAGAACAAGAGACATAAACTTCTGCCTTAAAGGCAGTAAATTAGTCTGGGTTACAAAATCAATGAAACTATGCTTCAACTATGAGGCTCAGGACTATGACCATGCCTATTGCCCAACAGCAAAGGGGAATCCAGACCCAAAGAAAGAATGAACAGACAGGACCAACCAAGGCTTCGGACAAACAACATGAAACAAAACCTCCCACTTAAATAAGACAGAAAAACAACTTTTAACTTCCCTACTCCAGGACACATATATGTAAGCATTGCCAGAGAATCTTATATAACCATAGATAAGAAGAATGTATTAGAAATTCTTAGACAAATTTAAGTGAATATAGAAACCATCAAATACCAAGTACATACAGTATCCTGGACAAAAGATTCACAGCAATTGAAGTAGACCTCCATATCAAAGCCAAAGGGTCAGCAATTATGACTCTCTTCTTCAAGATGAATTTTCATTTGAAAGTTCAAGCTTCTGAATCCCATCACCAAAAAGGTTGGATATTAGACAACAACAAAAGCTAATTAATAAAAGAATCAATCAAATAAATCCATGATAACATTCACTATAAAAAAAATGATAGACTGCCTCGACACACCTACCAATACAATCAATAGTTCAAAATCGACTCCCTCTTTCCTTCTGAACAATTATGATTAGAAAGCAATTAGGGAATCAAGTTTGCAATAGGCAAAATGAAGAGAATTCCAATTTCAATGAACCACACAATATCTGAAAAATAGGAACATTAAATGGTAGAGAGATTAACTTACAAGTAGACAAGATAGCAATTCTAGAATATGGACAAGAACAGCAAATAAATATACTGGGGATCACTGAAACCTGGCTCCCAGGAAACCAAAAATGGCATAACGAAGAAGGAAGATTTCAAATCAGCTCAAAAAAACCATTACAACAGTCTTATAGAACATGAGTAATCATTTTAATAAAGAAAAAATGAGTAACATATGTCTTTAGGTTCGAGGAATGCATTAACTAGAGAATCGCAGTAGACATGGCATTCAAAGGATGAATCCAATACAGGATATTAACAATCTACAACTCATTATATGGGACAAACAAATAAGATAGGAGAAAACTACTGCAATGATGCAAAGCAAAAATCAGTAAGGCAAAAAGCAACAACATGTTTTTAATAGTAATGTGTAACCTTAATGAAGTAGCTGATTATCAGAAAAACTGAATAACAGGAAAAGACAAAGAAAGTAAATCCAAGCACTTCATCAACTCATTAGAAAACTTCAATCTTATAGATACATTCTAACAGGCCCACCCCAAGGAAAGAAGTTATATATACATTAGAACAAAGTCAAACTACAGAAGCAGACTAGACTACATATAGTCTGTAGCCCACTACAACCATACATCTTAAACACAGAACACATCAAGGTGAAAACAATAATTAGATCAGATTATAGAATAGTAGTTACACATTTCGATATACTACACACCTTCTGGAGTAAGTTATCAAATAGAAGAAACAATATACAAATATTATAGATTATACAAACTTCAATCCAAACAATTGACAAAGTTCACTAAGAAATTGAAGAAAAATTAGCAGAGTCCCTCAAGGAAAGCTCCAAAATGATAGAGGAGACATGGCAATATCTCAAAGAGTTAATCAAGACAGCAGCAAAAATCTCCTTAAAAAAAAAGTGAAGAAGGAACAATATTAGTACTATACATAAGTTCAAATACAAGCAGTTCATGTACAAATCACTCAAGATCAGTAGCTTATACAGAAGATGCCTAGCATGAAAAATGAATTCATATACACATATATTCACCACAGAAGCACAAATCATAGAATTGATACAAGAAATCAATACACTGAAGATCCTCCGACAGAACCATCCCTTTTTATAAAAGATACAATTGATAACAAAAAAGAATTATTTAGGTGGTTACTAGAAACAAAGGAAATCTGGGAGATAAAGAACAAAATAGCCAAGATCACGATCAAGAAAGAGAAAGGAAGAACAATCCAAAAATATATCTAACAAAGATACAAAAACCTAGATAAATACTTAAAGAAAATGATTAATGGCATCCTGAACTGACAATCCAAATTCATAGATACACAATAACTAATAGAGCAGAAAATAAGAAATGAAGTTGAAATAATCAAGGATCCACTTATAATAAAGAACAAAATCCAAAAACACTTCTAAGAGTGGACAGGACCTAGAAGAACATTGAATATAAAGGACTTTCCACATTGGAAAAAACAATATAGGCCAAAGAAACAATTCAAGAGAAGTGATTTGACAATGTGTTAGTTTCTATAGAAGTAACAGAAATAAGAAATGCAATCCAAGAAAAAAAAAACTATAGCACCCCAGGACCATCAGGAATTCTATACATAGTGCTCAAAAACCTGAGAAAGAAGGAAACAAAGCTTGTAGAGATACTTTTCAACAAAATTCTAAGAACAGAA